TTATTTAATTGTTACGAATAATATTTCTTAATTATTATTTGTTGTGTATGTGTTCTTTTATTAATACTGGTTATATGAGCATTTCTCTACCATTTATGACAAAAGGGTGCAGCATACCCCTGCGGGCACTCCACGAGTAAGGAGATGGAAGGCCAAGAAAGCACACTAGGTATGTTGTGGAGTACAAGAGGAGGCTTGATGTAATGATAGTAGATCATGTCATCTAGACATCATACATAACTCACAGAGTCCATCGTGAGTTTGCTGAGTCTTCTTTATTTTTTTGTTATATGTGGTGGGAGACCTTAGTCGCTAGGCACTTGCCTGAGAGGTGTCTGTGACAATATGGTTATGTCCAGACCATCCCACGACAAGTTCAAGATGTTATAGCTTCGGGCATTGATAGTTCATTTTAGAGTAACATCATCGGCTCTGCCCGTGCCATTGTAGATGACGCAATTAGGGTTCAATACGACTCATAGTGTAAGGATGGTTACCTGGAGTGGTACCTTATTGTATCAGGCTCTCATGACATCTCATTTGTTGAGCATACAAATGATGATCTACCTTTCAATGCTTGGGCATCTGTCGGTGATGTGTCGGTACCGCCACCTTCACCTGATGCCGATGACTAACAGTGCTAGCAGATGATTGTTGTTATAATGGATAACCTCATGGGTTTTGTAAACCTAGATAGTGAGATTTTTTTACCGAATTACTGTAGGCAACACACATAGCCTGTGAGAGACCTATTTAGTTATTTGATTTTGCAGTTGTATTATTTGTATATTTTGTGACTCAAACTACTTAGCAACATACCTTTTATTACATGATATTTTGTCGATTACATGTTTCAAAGATGAAGATAACTTAAGACATTACAACTAACATAAATAAACAATAAGGAAACATGAAAACTTATACACTACTAGATGATTCTAGACGTTTTAGCATATTAATTATGTCGTCAACATATCTTGAAATCTTCACATCTGTCTCGATCAACCCCATAGTTAGTCTACAGACAAATGATCTCCACATAACCATCAAATCTTCATTGATCTTCAACTCAATAAGGTTGTATTTCACCCTTCCATCAGTATCAATCCAATATTCATGAAACTCGATCTTTCCCACCTTTATGTTATCGGTATCAAGCAATAATTCATTTAACTTGGATGTCAAGGCTGTGAGAGATGTGGTGCCATCCGAATGTCTGAACTCTACAGGAGGTGCACCTCCGTTGAATTACACTTCTGCCATAATAAAAAAATTAAGGAAGATGAATTTTGAGATGTTTTTTCAACAACAGATGACCCTTATTTATAAAACTTTGAATTTATTCTGGACTACACAAAACGGTCGGTGCAATCACAACCGTACAAAATTGTCGGCAATGTCCTAACTGTTGGAAATCTTATAAAATTGAACTATCAAAATTTTTATATTAATTGGAGTTTTCGATATAACATGATATTTTTTGAAAAAAACTAGTAAAATTTCACGCGTACCAGAAATATTTGAAAATTTCGATAATAATTCATATCGGAAATTATAAATACATTATTAGAAATTGTAATTGTATGGGAAGTTTTGAATAAGAAAATGAGATATGCACTGACAGTGTAAAATAATTTTACATTATCAACCAATCACGTTCATGTATCCCGCCACACCAGAATGTAAATTTTAAATTAATAATATGACATGACAGATTAATGAATTCCTATTGGATGATAGTGTAAAATTATTTTAGATTGTCAGCACATATCAATTAAACTCATTTTGAATTACCTAATGAAAATTTTATACCCGCGTTTGAATCCAATTTTAAATAAGGGTATTTTTGGAATTATGTGACAACTATAAAATAAGGGGTGGCATAGATAGAGAATTGGTTGTGTTTTGGGTCATACTTCATTGTGGCGCGAGTCTGTCACTCTCACTCAATCTACATTTTTAGTTATTAACAAATAATTCAATCTAGAATAAAAAAATGGTCGCATTATTGGAAATTAATGTCCATGGGTGTGTTCAAATATGATAAAGTTAAAAAGGATAAAAGTTTCCTATAGACAAAAGTGGAAATTGCTGTCAAATCTGTTTGAAGGAATTTCGCACTAAACATCCCCCCAGTGGAATTTGCCTTCAAATTTGTCTGAAGGAATATTGTTTGCATTAGTTTCTTTGCATGAATTTATAATTCATTAAATGGATATCAAATTGACATTTCTAAATATAGATCTCGATAAGGAGATTTTCATGGGGTAACTAGAAGGTTATGTGTTTCCTGATAATGAACAAAAGATTCACAAATTAAAGGCGAGACACACAACTCAGGGGGAGACTCTTCAATCATTATCACAATAAGAATTAGAAGATTTTGTCATCACCAAAAGGGGGAGATTGTGAGAAATACATCTAATATCTAGTTCTATTTTGATGAAGACAAATATTATCAAAGAAGAAAAGATTCAAAAGGGTCATACATATCAATGATGAAGTTGATCAAGAAGGTTTAACATATAAATTCAAGAGAAGATTTGAGATAAGTCAATATAATTAAGGTGCTCATTGCAATTTATATTATACTATTTTAAATTTCTCATAATTTCATCTCTCACTCCATCTAAAAACTTCTTGCATCATCATGCATGATTATCTAAAAACATTTTTCATCTGATTCTTGTTACAAGTGTTTGTAGACAAAGTTATGTGAGAATATTGTGATATTCATTTGTCTCGATGTTGATTATATGATTGATCATTAGCAACGAGATGAATGGAATTTTAGAAACAAAGAGGTTTCTAACTTTCACATTCAAGATGAATGATCTTGGACTAATTGACACACTTTTGGGGATCAAAGTAAAGCAAAATAGTGGGGGTTATGAACTTAGTCAAACACACTTGTTGAGAAAGTGATTGATAAGTTCAAACACTACAACTTTAAGGAAGTGTCCACTCCTAATGTCAAACTTCAAAAGGATGATGGATGATTGTAGCTCAACTAGAATATGCAAGTGCATGCAATGTATTAGACCTGGCATAACATTTGAAATCAGTAAAATGAGTAGATTTTACTAGTAATCCAAATGGTGAGCACTAGAAGGCCATCATTAGAAAATTCCAGATATCTTATGAAAATCAAAAATCTTGGTCTCCATTATGGTAGATTTCTTGCCATGTTAGAAGGATATACCGGTGCAAGTTGGATATCGAGTGTTAAATATCAAAAATATGCATTTAGGTGGATATTTACACTAGTAAAGTGTGCAATTTCTTAGAAGAGCAAGAAACAAATGTGGATCACTCTCTCAACTATAGAATCAGAGTTCGAGGCTCTTGCTTTCGCTTGTGAAGAAGTTGAGTGGCTGAGGGACCCTTTGTTGGAAGTTCCATTGGCTAAAGACAATGTTTCAAAGGGGTTGATACATTGCGGTAGTCAAACCACTTTAAATAAAGCATACAAAAAAATGTATAACAGAAAGTCTATACAAGTAGGACTTAGACATTATTTCGTGAGAAAGTTGATTAAGGATGTAATCATTTACATACATATGATCGAGCTATAATTTTCTTGATCCATTTACTAAGCCACTAGTCAGAAACTTAGTAAAAACAACCTCGAGAGGCATGAGATTAAAACTCCTTGAGTAATAGTTTCGACAATGGCGACAACCCAATCTTACATTAATAGAACATTAACCTCAAGATTCAATGGGTAACAACAAGTCGTTAATTTGGATATTTTTCAAACATTTTGTGATAATGTTGACCTTTAAAATGAGGGTTGGGTTTTACTTAAACTCTTAATGAAGTTCAATACTGAGGGCATGTGTCCCATAGAAAAGGATACAATATGAATTCCACCTATGTGAGTTTCAAGATGGTGTCGTCTCAAAGTGAGATTTGGATTTTATCTCATGAAAATTCATGAAACAGGAAAGCGTATGGCCATAAATAAGTGTTAGGAGAGAAATGTAGGCGAAGAACCCTTAAAGAATGTGTGTAAGGTAACGTCAGTCTATTCAAATGGGTTAATGGTTTAAAAGTATTGCTACCTAACATTCCGATTAGACTTTGCGTTGTTTTTACTAAGGTTAAGTTTTAAATCAAAAGATACTTAACTGTATTAGCATTCTTTTGTTTCCTTTTATTTCTGAAATTGATCTTGTCATTATTAGAACAAGTTAAAGATTCTTGGAAATTAATGAACAGTTAATTTCCATGAGTGTGTTTAAACATGACAAAGTTAAAGATGATAAAATTGCCCTATAGACAAAAGTGAAAATTGTCTTCAAATCTGGTTGAAGGAATTTTGGTCAGTTTTTGCACTAAACATCCACTAGTGGAATTTGCCTTCAAATCTGTCTGAAGGAATTTTGGTCAGTTTTTGCACTAAGTCGTTAAAGTTGTCTCGGGCTACTGAAATTTTGAATTTTGAATTCAAAATATACAACACTTCATGAAGTGGATCATAATATAACTATAGGCGAACCATTGCAATCTTATGCTGAAAAAGTGTTGTTTTATCAAGAGTCGCAACCTTGTGAAACAACACATACATGACATATAAATACCTCACTTGAAATTCATAAATCATATCACAAACTAAATATTCTCTTGTACAAAATTTCAGACACTCTTCGCTACATAATCGAGTTTTCGTCAGTCTTGCATAAATTCAATATTCAAAAATTCTAACTCTAAGACATATTTGAGAGTGCTTAAAATACTTAAAAAGAAAAAAATCGTTCACAATTCTAACATTAATCCATTTGAATTACCTAATGAAAATTTTATAGCCACATTTAAATCCAATTTTAAATAGGGGCATTTTTGGAATTATGTGTCAACTATAATAGGGGGTGACATAGATAGAGAACTGGTTGTGTTTTGGGGTCATACTCCATTGTGGCGCGAGTGTGTCACTCTCACTCAATCTACATTTTCAGTTATTAATTAAGGCAACAAAGAAACCAATCCAGAATAAAAAAATGGCCGCACCTCATCTTCTAAAACAAGCTCTCCTTCTTCGCGCATGCTTCCATACCTACAAACACTTCACCGTCAGAGCAGTTGCGGCGCGCCCCCGACTATGGTGCAGCGCCGCCATCATTCCACCGTGGGAAAAACCAAACGATAGACTTAACTCTGTCAACAACACGCTAAATCTCAGACGAGATAATCACTCGTCGAGTTCCCTTCGATTGGAGGATGAACCTGAGTACCGAAGATGGAAGAATAAAGAAGACGAGATTCTCAACGACATCGAGCCTATTCTCTTGCTTACCAAGGAAATTCTTCACTCGCCACGGTAAAAAAAAACCCTAGTGTTCTGATTTAATTTGTATGAATTTTCATTTTTTAAATCTTTGATTAAGCTATGTATTCGATTTTCTGCGCTAGGTATATGGATGGAGAGAGACTAACGGTGGAGGATGAGAGAGCTGTTGTAGAGAAGCTCCTTGCTTATCATCCACATTCCGAAGATAAGATGGGATGTGGTCTTGAATCCATTATGGTAAACACCTTCTAACCTATATTTTAATTTTTTAACACTTCAATTATTGCCGGTAGCCCGGTAGGTTTTAGCATAAACAAGTTAACTGAATGTTCTTAGCATAAGCGCTTATTATATCAGTCTGATGCATTAGCTATTGCTATAACAAAAGATAATATAAAGTCGGATTGTTTTCATACAAGTTATAAGTTGTTTTCATAAGCTCTCTCAAAAAGTCGCACAAATGCTTACGCAAGTAGATAAGATCAATCTAAGCTGTTAAGAGTCCAACATCGAACAATATATGGCATGAACATGTGTTTATAAGTGGGGGCAATCCTCACTCTACCAACCGGTTTTGTAAGGTTGAGTTAGGCCCAACCACACTTCTTAACATGGTATCAGAGCCTCGTTTAAGATCCGGTGGGCCACCTTCTATGGTTTCCGCTATCGGGCCACCCACCATTTATTTCCACGCTTCAGTTGTCCAATCCTGAGCGTGAGGGGGTGTGTTAAGAGTCCCACATCGGACAATATATGGCATGAACATGTGTTTATAAGTGGGGGCAATCCTCACTCTACCAACCGGTTTTGTAGGGTTGAGTTAGGCCCAACCACACTTCTTAACATAAGCAAACACTTAATCTACTTCCATTTGATGTCTGAACTAAAGTTTAATTGTTATTGTTATTATTTCGGTGTCTCAAATTTCTTTATGCAAGGATGAACTGCTTATGTGATACTTTTGGCCATATTCAAAGCACTATTAGCATGATGTTGATACCTAGATTGTGGTACTCTTGCATTTGTGTTGCCAGCATTAGCCGTATTAATTAGATAAAGGTCTTACATTTGTTACGTAAGACTTTTAGCTCAAGATACTACATCTTTAAAATTTCCAAATTCTACTCCTGTAAAATTAGAATGTTACATGTCTTGTATAAAACAAAATGTACAAGGCTGCTACCGTATTACAGCTTAGTCCGAGCATAATACTTTTTTGGTGTGAGTGGGCAGTTAGGTTATGCATGAAAGTTAAAACCATTATTTTTCAAGCTTAACAAGACAGGCAGACTTCTGGTTTGCTTCTATAAGGTAATGGAATTGCCTTAACCTTGTTTGTCAAAAGCTTCCAAATACTGAAAACAGTTGGGTTAGCTTAACTTGTATGATCAAACAACCTCCACTCAAAGGTCTTCTCATCCCTGCTAGCGGTCTTCTTTGGAAGGTCGTGTGTAACTTGTAAGAACAACATTCAGCCTTCACTATGTCTTGTGGTATAATCTGTAAGAGTAGGAGGGCAACCTTCACTCCTTGTAAAATTTTTCCAGCAAAAATTGATCTTGGTATTTTTGCTATACCTATTTTAACATAATCCATGGCGCTTTTTTCCACTTATATGCATCTTCGACTCAAGGGAGTCATCGTGTGAAATTCCAATCATTATGTGGGAACCAAAGGAACATACTGTGCATTATTTCTTGGGTTTCCTTTCTCTCCAATGATTTCATGTTTGATCCTGGCTTTTCCAACAACTAATCCATTGTAATATTTTCGTCTCTACAATAGTGACCTTACTTTCTATTGACCTTTTTGGCAGCTAGTCCTAGTATTATAGCTGTATAATATAATCTTTCCTTTGGTATGAGTGGTACTTTTTTATTACTTGTTACACTAGAAGCATTGTTCTATTTAATTAACCTTGCTTGAATCCACGGTTGATATCTCCACTTTATATTTGATGAATAGATATCTCCCTTTATTTTCATGTGACTTTATATGATGAACCGTAGATACATAAACCATGAAGACTTGTGATGATTGTTTTTCAATTGCTACTTTTAAACAAGAATTTGCATGTCCTACTAAACTTATACTCCATATATGTTAGGAATCTGAATTGAGAGAGACCTGAGAAATAGTATTTGTTCCGGGTGGAATAAGAAATTGATGATATGCTGATGAAAGTTTCTGTAGAAGCTCTCCAGTACGGCGGCAAGAGTTTTCGGTGGGCGGAGAAGATGGTGTATCTGCAAGGTTAGAACTCCAATGCTCAAGTCAACGAGGTCAGAGAGATGTAACTTGTAAGGGTAAAATGGAATTGTACCTTGGTGAGGCGCGTGATTGCGCTTATGTATGAGCAACGGTTAAAACCACACCCGGTGAACACGCCTTGGAATGCGGGAGGCTGTTGGATTGGTCCCAACGCCGATGATGAGCGTGGTGTTAAGTTCTAGTGTGCGGCTTCATGGCGAGGGTTTACCTGTTCGTTGCCTTTTGGCAGGCGAAACTCTAGATTGGCCCTTTGAATTGGGTCAGTCTTATTGGGCCGTTTGGCCGACCTAGAACAGTATTATTGATTGAATAGAACTATTATTAGCAAAGCTCCTTAGGGAAGATATAATGCTCTCTATGCCTAGCCTTTAAGGTTCTAACTGAAAAGATTACCAAAGATACCCTCTCTCTTCTGATTCTCTTATAACAAAATTGGTCATCAAACACTTTGCTCAAGCCTTAGTAAATCAGAAATTATAGGGGAATTTTCAGGAATCACCAATTTGTCCTTATAAAAGAGTGCTCCTTGCACTGAATACCCAGGTTTGACTTCGGTCGTGAACCACACTGTCACAGATGCTCTTTAGAACCATGTCTTACTGCTCTGCTGCCTGCAGCTCCTTACCTTACTGCCAAATAAGTGCTCCAATCGGTGCTATACACTAAAATTTCATAAAAAGTATTAGCACAAACTTGTTTAGGTACGCCTTTAAAATAGCATTCATCACAGAGTAAAATGTAGCTGGGGGATTCATTAAACCAAAGGGTGTCACCAAATTCTCATAGTGATCCTCATGAGTGCGAAGCATCGTCTTATGGATATCCTCCTCCTTCATACAAATTTGCTGATATGCCAATTTAAGAACGATATTAGAAAAATATCCCGCACAAAAAAGCTTATCCAATAATTCATCTACCACTGGAATAGGATGCTAATATTGAACCGTCATTTTATTTAAGCCTCTAATTTCCACACACATCCCCACAAATTGTCTTTCTCTTTCACGAAAATCACAGGACTAGATAAAACACTAGCATTTTTTCTAATTACCCCCTCTGCATCAGATTTCTAACTTGGGTTTCATTCTCATTTTTTTGGCAATGGGGATATCTACAAGGACGCACACTAACAGGACCAGCCCCATGCAACAAAGGACAATAATGAAAAACATAAAAAACATTTCTAGGGGGAGGTAACCCCTGAAATTCCTTAGAAACATTTCTAGGCTGTTGAAATTCAATGAGAAGCTCGACACACATGTGGTCCAACGATACCCTTGCAAGGACGGACACCTTATGAGACACATTAGTCACTAAACTGTAGAGAGGAACCAAAGCTTCACGATTGGATTGTCATTGCAAAAAGTAATGGGGTTCCCAAGATAATTAAACGCCATAGACATGTCCTACCAGTCAACAGTAACCTTGGCCAAAGTTTCAAGCCAAACAATCCTCCAAAATCACAACTACACCGCCCAATTCTAACACATACTCATCAAGGGTCACCGTCAATTCACCAATAGTCAGTAACATCACAACATGGCCTCAAAAGTACCCAAAGTCATGACTCTGACCATCACCCAACTTCACCTCTACTAGCTTCGTAGGAGAAACAGGTAGACCCAATGCATCCACAAAGACGGGGGTGATGAAATTATGGGTCGTGTCGCTGTCAATTAGCACCAACACTAAAGCCCCTTATCCTACCAAACTCAGTCTTCGTGAATCGTGACAGCACAAAGAATTTGTTTCACCCCATCTCTTTGCATTCAAGATCATCAACCTCTGAACTCTTCTTCAGCAGTATCCAACACCACAATCTCGCCTTCATCATTAACTGCCTCACCATCCCCCAAGAGACTGACATGCAATCGCTTCACAAGACATTGGTGGAGCAAGTGCCAGCATTCGTTTCAGTGCGAACATAGACCCTTTGCACGTCTCTTCTGGAAATCAGAGTTAGGCAAATGATGCACCCCATGAGTTGGGTTGCAACGACCATCCTCCCTAGAACTCCCCTTAGAGCTCACCGTGGAAAAAGTTGGGCGAGTTGAAGAGCTGTTTGCAAACAATGAAACTGAATGCGCCGGGTCTTGCCCGACATCTCAATGGATCCACAATGGGCTGAGTTAGAATGCCCATGTTGATCTCCCTTACAAGCGGACCACAGCTTTTGAGAACGAGGCCCAAACGAATCGTAACCCGATTTGAAGCGCGGCCCATTTCCGTGACTCAGCGGTTCAACAATAGTGGATTTTGCTTGCACATCATGTGCAAGTTGCATAGCTTGATAATCATTTTGTAGCTTGAACATGTGAACACGAGAGAGGATATCATGGTGTAAACCTCCCACAAAAATATCCCAAAAATTGCATCTCAGGCAGCCGGCCACACTAGGATGAGTAGAGCTCAAATTCATAAATGTAATCTTCAACAGACCCGGATTGCTTGATGTTCTCGAGTTCTTCAAACAGCTATCCATTCAAAAATGAATGGTCAAGGCTTCTTTGAGGTTGACCCTGATGGAGCGAAGGAGACACAGTTGGGCCTGGACTCTAACATCAGGCCCAAGATATGGAGAGTGTATGAGAGGAGGCGTGGGAAAGCAAGAGAGAGAAAAGAGGAGGAAAACGCGTGTGCATGGGATGCATGAGGAGTGAGGTCAGCTGAGTATATTAAGACAGTTAGAGGAGAGAGAATGGTTAGCCAAGTATTCTGTTAGAATGGATTCACTCTTGTGAATTGAGGCCTTGTGGCTATAGGGAATTGATAGTCTGTTATCAATTCACGTTACCTATTATTACTATCTACCATTACTATTTCTTGCTGCTTGTAATTGTTATTCATCATATAAACAATTACCTTTGATCCTTTGTTCTTAATCTGCTATTTACTGTTTCATTAACCCATCAATTGGTCCGACCTGCCGGATCAATAACCCCTCAGAAATCTCGCAACTGTCGATG